TTATGGTATAATCAACTGTTATTCTCATGAGCTTGCTTTTATAAGTGACTGGACCCTTTTCTCTTGTGGCCTTCCATAGCCTTTCCTTTGTTTGTGTCTTTGGTGTTTTAGCTATACTATATCATGGAAAATTCTTTTCTCATCCTGTACATTTGGTGTTCTGTAGGCTTCTTGTTCCTAGGTGGGCATCTCTTTCTTTACATTTGACAATTTTATTCTGTGAATTTTTTATCCAAAATATTTTATATGCTTTCAGTGTCTAATAGTTCACCCATAATTCCCTTCATATACATTTTTAAAATTTATCATTGACCTTTATTTATCATTGATCCAATTCTTCTATCTTGTCTTCAAGCCCCAATGCTCTGTTTTCCACAGGCTCTACTATATTGATGAGAATTTTCACTGAGGTGTTTGTTCAGTTTGTTGAGTTTTTTTTTTTTTTAATGTGTATGCGTGTATTGTCTGCATGTATGTAAATGCACCCGTTTCGTAGAAGAGGGTGTTGAATACTCCTGGAACTGGCTTCATGCTTCAAATTCAGGGCTTTGTGGATGGTAGGCACACACTCTACCGACTAAGCTGCACTCTTAAGCCCCTCATCTTTGCATCTTGTGTAATGTGTCTGTTGTCTTTGATTGCCCTTAGGATCTCTCTGTTTTGCTTTTGTTTATGGCCATTCAAGCAAAGCATACTATGGGCACGTATCAGTGTTGTTCCTCCCCATCTGCTATGCCTCACAGAGACTCTGTCTCTAGATTTTTATTCCTCTATTTGCACACAACTGTAAGGGGAGGTGCTGGAGGGTCTGCCTTCTTTCTTGGGCAGGCATTTATCCCTTGGGATTTGGATGTGTGGCCTTTTAAAGTTCCTACCTGTCCTAGTTTGTTTCTCCATTTCTGTGACAAAACACTCTGACCACTACCAACTTGGGGAGGAAAGGGTTTATTTGTCTTACATATCCTGGGTCACAATTCATCTGGGAGCCCAAGGTAGGAACTCAGGGCAGGGACCTGGAGGCAGGAGCTGGAGCACAGACCATGGAGGAATGCTGCTTACCGGCTTACTCCCCTGGCCCCTGCTCAGCCTGCTTTTTTATACAACACAGGCCCACCTGCCCAGGGGTGGCACCACCCAGAGTGGGCTGGGCCCTCCCACATCACTCATCAAGAAGATGCCCCTCAGACATGGCCACAGGCCAGTCCAATAGAGGAAATTCCCCAATTGAGGCTCCCTCAACCCAGGTGTGTCAAGTTGACACTAAAGCTGTCCAGCACACTACTCATTTCTCTGCAGAGTTCTGAGCTCAGCATGCATTTAATCCCCATTACAGTCTCACACATTAATTAGAATGGTCCTGAGTAATTTCTGCCTGGCAGGAATCTTTACTGTATTTAGTATTGATGAGACATGGGGCTCTGTAATTATATCTGGGAAATGCCAGTAGGAGGTATTTAGCAAGGGATGATCCTTTTCTTCTTGTTCCCACTTAAAATGTCAGGTTCAGGAAAGCTGTCAGGAGGGAATGACTACGTGGGAAAAGAACACATTTTCTTTTGTGCTAATATTGTTTTTGACCCACGCAGACCATGGAGTCCCTTTGCTTTCTGAATTCAATAATTAATTACCTGTTTACAGACAGCAGTTGACAAGGTCTCTCTGACCTTCCTTGAGACAAACTGTCCTGTTAGAAAACCAACTGTGCTCTAGCTGCTTGGCTAATGTGGTTTCTGGGGTTTGTGGGAATCCTGCCATGTTTGTAAGATTATTCACTTTTGCTTTGCATTCAGGTACAAACGAATCCACAGCTAGCATAATCCACATCCATTTTCCCTAAACATATACTTCAAAGAGTGTGGAAGGTTTGATTTCCGAATAAATGGGTTTTTAAAAAGTGCAAGTGGGCTGTTAAAAGCAGAATTTTTAAAATTAGCATTTCAAATAATGACACCTTCAATGTTCATTTTTGTATCTTAAGATTTTGTTAGAGAACATTTATGCAAAAATTGTAATGATGCTTATATTTGAAGATTTACTTTCTGCTGTTTGACTATTGATCAATTCACCAGTATGATTAAGAATAAAGATAAACAGATATGAATTAATCACCTAATGAATAAAACCAAAGACTTCTCATGTGGTCAATTAATTCTCACCTGGCTTTCCAAAATGATCGTTTTACCAATTATCATACTGAAGAGGAAATACTTTCAACCCGGACTTAGAGTTGAAGGACATGGGAAAAAGCCTGAGAATTGAGAAGATGAATCATGTATATTCTTATATTTATTTTATAACAATCATGGTATGAGAAATTGTCATTTTGAAAATTGTATGTGTGGATGAAATTTGAAGCAGAATGTACAGCAGCGGGAGTCTGGCGACAGGGACTCTCCGACAAGCCCTGGGCTGCCTCTTCCAGTCACAGGCTGCTGCGCCCTTGGCCAGGCTGCTTCAAGGTGGTTCTAGAACAAGGCCTAATTCTCACAGCAGAGGTTGTTTGACTTCTTTCTCTGCTTTTCTCTAGCCTTGTCGTCAGGAGATTTTGTTCTTCATTCTTCACAAAGATGGGCTAGTTTGTGGGCCTTGGCTTCCAGAGGACTTTTCAGTTCCACCAATCTATTTGCTGTTCCTTCTGCTGCCTAAGCATTCCCCTCATCACTGCTAAATAGCATCCCACAGACTTCTCTCTTCACATCAGATGCAGTCAAAACACTGTTTCGTTCCTCAGAACTTGTTCACGGTTTTGAACTTGAATGTTTTTTTTTTCCCCTTACAAGTTCAATTTTTATTGTTAGATATAAGCAAAAACTGAATATAATACAAATTTTAAAATGCATTTAAGAAGCACAATGAACACCATTCCAAACTTAGGAACTAGACTGCACTGCCACTGCCGTAGGAACTTCTGTATGCCTTTCCCTGTCTCCCCCACATCTTCTCAACCTTCACACAGGCAACTGGACTCCTAAATTTTGTTTTCGCTGTGGATTTATTTTAAAGTTTTATCATCAAATCAGATATCATGATTAATAGCTAACATACTGTTAAAAGTTGCTTGGCTTCAGAACTTCATAGAAACAGCATCTTCTGTTACTGTGCATTTTGTTGTTTTATTCTGATATTTTATTTCCAGTATTTATCTAGGGCTTGGAAAATATCATAACTCTAGACCACATGCTTATCAGTGTGAGGTCCTGCGTTTGATTCCCAGCACCATAGATAAATAACGAATTAAATTTTGGAGGCAGGGAAATTTGAGTCAGAGTCTCTTTACAGCTAGTCTCAAACTTAAGATCCTCCTAGCTTAGCCTCTGAACTGGAGTGTTGAGATTGCAGGGGTGGGTCACCACATTTGACTCACAAGTTAAGTTTTAATATTTATCTTCCAGCATTTGTTGAAAATCACCGCTCGTCTTAGTTGTGGCCTGCTTTGAGATTTGGCTCCCAGAGCCACCAGGGGCCTCAGCTCACCTCCTGATGCCATGGTGTAGGAAGGTGAAACCCATGTCCCAACAAGCACCTTTTAAACAATAAAAGCTCTATCTGTATTGCTGCTTAGAACTGTAATTTCTTTGTATCCACAGCTGTGTAACATTTTACTTCTGACTACCTCAAGATCTATTTACTCATTCTTTTTTAATATATTTTTATTATTACTTTTATTTTATGTGAATGAGTGTATTACCTGCATGGATGTAAGTGCACCTGTGTCCTGCAATGCAGGCAGAGATCAGAATAGGGCATTGGATTCCCATGGAACTGGAGTTACAGATGGTTGTTAGCTGCCATGTGGGTGCTGGAAACCAAACCTGGGTCCTCTGCAAGAGTAGCCAGTGTTCTTAAACACTGAGCCATCTCTCCAGCTCTCATATTTTTTGTTAAATTTAAATTATTTATAGAATTCCATACATGATTAATGTGGTTAGATATTCACATCTTTTCTCTCCCTTTCTGTCTCCCCTCCAACTCCTCCTGTGTCCCCTCTGTTCTGAAACCATAGCTCCTTTTTCCTTAAATTATTGTTACACATACACACACATGTGTATATTACTGACTCCATTTAGTGATGCTAGTATATACATGTGTGTTAAGGGTTGAACACTTGAGATTGGTAAGTAGATCAATATCAGGGATCTTGTTTTGGGGGAAAATAAACTAGTTGTCTCTCTCACACTAGGCATTGATTGCCTGCAGCTCTTCATCTAGGGGTGGGGCCTTATGAAATTTCCCCGACTACATTGACATGTTGATTAATGTCATTATACAGATCTTGTTTAAGTATCAGTATTATTACAATTTCACTTGTATGACTTCCCTGCCACGTCTTGAAAATAATGTGTAGCAGTGGGTGTCCTGGTACTCAGGCTCTTATAATCTTTCGTCTCCCAGTTCTGCAATTTCCTGAGCCTATGTGTAGTGACTGCATTGTAGATGTATTAATTGGAACTGGGAACCCTATAGTCACTCATTCTCTGCAGATATCAGTATAGCTTCCATCTGTTGCATAATGAAGCTTCTTTCATGAGGAGTGAAGGGTAATTAAAAAGAAGTTAGACATTATCTTGGTTTAGGAAAATAGCAGTAGAGGGTTCTCCTCTACTGTGTATGACCTCTCCAGCCACTGGCAGTTGGTTAAGTTTACAGTGTGAGGAATGAATTTCCTCTTATTGAGAGGGCCTTAAGTCCAATTAGATAGCTCTTGGTGCCCCTAAGACAGAAGTGTCACTACTGTAACATTGGGGATATATTAACACACCAGTCATTGTCCTGGTTCATAGGATTTATAGCTGGATAGGACTATGCATTGCTTTTCTCCCTTGACAGCTTGCATAGCTCTTTCAGATACTATGAGGACTAATTCTCAAGGAAGAGGCTTTTAGGTAAGTTCTAGCTCCATTTCTCCAGGACCTGTGCTACAAAGTGTCCACAAACTTTAGCAATAGGGCCTTACCTTCAAGTACTGGGGAGCAACCAAAGGCAATGCCTCTAGCCTATTTTGTTTTCAGAGCCTCTTGGACTCCCTTGGCCAGCAACTTGAAGGGAAGTTTCCCATGCCCGACATTGGGGGGATTCCTGTTAGATTGCTCTAGCTTATGGGGAGAGCATCATCAACCTATATGCTATAACTCCATTATATGTGTGCATGTGTGTGTGTGTGTGTGTGTATGAATGTCTTGGTATAAAACATACATATGTGTTATATATGTATTTTAAGTAAACTTATAAAATAATACGCTTCCTTATAGCTGTTCAGACATTCTTAGTGTTATTTATTTCTCTTTACTCTCTCCCTCTGTATTACCATCCCCTTTACACTAAATATTTTAAGGGTGTATTTATTTCATGTGGATGTGTGAGTGGCTACATGCATAAATGTAAACCATGCATGAATGTATACCGCGTGTGCCTGGTGCCCACGCAGAGCCGAAGAGAGCATTGGATCTACTAGAACTGGTTATAGGTTATAGCTGCCTGACTGACACTGGTGCTGGGAACTGAAATCCAGTCCTCTGAAAGTGCTGCAATTCTTTCAACCGATGAACCATCTCTTCCTTCTCAGTAAGTACCAGGCTCAAAGAATCAGTAATTCTACCCTAAACCTGCTAAGACATTCTGTGATCCCCAGCCCCTTCTTCATCTCCGCTTTTTAAGATGCAGCAACTTTGAAGTAATTCCTTTTTTATAGACTTTATTTTTTTAATTATTGTCTGATGATGTCATACCTTCATACACAAATTTCATCCTGAAGAGTGCAATGGCACAGAAAACATCTTTTTGATACACACGCCTATAATTCTAATACTCTGGAGGCAGAGGGAAGCATATTTCTCTGGGTTTAAGGCAGGCCTGTTCTATAAAGTGAGTTTCAGACAAGCTAGGAGTACATAGTGCTGTTTCAAAGAACAGCAACAACAAAAAGAATTTGTTTTGAGGCACAGAAGAGTCTTTGGACTGGACTTTTTGGCAGTATTAGGACTGAAAGGACTATGGACTTTTGGAGATGAGCTAAATGAATTATGAGGTGACTTTAGAGGTGAGGAGTGGAATATTGTTATTTAGAGTAATGAGTTTCAATGTCAAGTTGCCAAGGGGCATGTTGCTAAAATTCCTTCTGAGAGGCATGCATGGCTCCCCCTCTTTACACCATCCTTATGTCAAAACAAGGCATACTTTCTCAAAACTACAGTTTGGAGAGCCAAAGAACTTATTGGGCTTCCATACAGATTAATAGGTGAGGGGATTACTTTCAGAAGTGGGAGTGGGCTTCCCTCTACATCGTGGCAGGGACCCTGTGACCTCCCTGCAGCTGCTCAAGATGGCAAAGACCGCCCCCTCTCTGGCTTCCCCTGTCCCTATCCTTAGTCCCTCCCCCGCTCAGGCTAGCTGCTTCAATGGACAGTGTGACTCTCTCTGCCTTTTCCTCCTAAGGAAAGTTTGTTTGTGGTGAGAGTAAGCAGGTGAATCCCAGCTTGAGAAGAAGGTATCTGTCCATTGTTTGCCAGTCTAGTTTGCCAGGCAGAGGGCAAGTCCATACAACAGGGTAGCATGATGGTTACTATAGTCACCTTGACTGGATTCAGAGTCATTATGGAAATGTAACTGATCTACGAGCATGTTTCCGGAAAGGCTTACCTGAGGAGAGAAGATCCGGTCTGAATATACGTAGTACCTTTCTATGAACTGGGGTTCCAGAAAGAATAAAAAGAAGAAAGTGAGCTGAGCAGCAGCATTCATATTTTTCTGTTGCATGACTTGGGATGCAATGTGACTAGCTGCCTCACTCCTGGTGCCATGTCTCCCCTGACATGATGGACTAGGCCCCCAAACTCAGTCAAAATAAACTCTTATCTGTAAGTTGTTTTTGTTAGGCCTTTTTTTCAGAAAAAAAAGTCACTACTACACATCTAGCTGCATGCTAGTCATGTTCAATCTGCTCCCCAGTGTGAGGCTTGACTGATAGACCCTAGACTTAAATATTGTTTAGAGAAAAACCTTGCCATCTTCTCAGAGGCATGCTAAAATGGAAGAGGTGGTTACATGATTTCTATTTCTCTGTGTGTGAGGCAGTTAGATTGCAGAATGGATTTATGGGATTAGAGCGGGGATTGCCTCTGTAGGCTGAGCCTTCCAGGATTATGTAGTATTGTTGGTTCCTGGCTCTTCTCATCACATTCTTTTTGTACTTGGCATTCTCAGTGCTAAAATCTCCATTCGACGTGCATTCTATTATTAGGAATGTATCAATGTCTCTGCTCTTATTTTCCACAGTTTTGTAATTTATTCCTTAAATGTTACTTGTTGTTTGCAGAGGATTTTCATCCAGCAGGATTTGGGGCTGGGGGAGAATCAGATACTTGTAGTGGATTCACCATCTTCATTGAAACACCATTGTGACCTTCATAGTTAACAATGCAGCTAGCTTTCAGCCCCACTTTTGCTCTTTCCTCATGAGTATCCAAATTGTCACCAAGAAGTCCTTATTCTTTTCAGCAGTATCTGAAGCTACCAGCTCTTCTGCTCCTGTTATTTCTCCTCCTCTCTTCATCCCTCCATCCTGTATTCTCTCTGGTCTTTTTCTACTGGCTTCGTGACCTACATTTGTGATCTATCTGTTCTATGGAAATTTTTTTTTTTATGTAGGCATTATTCTTTCTCTTCAGAGGAAACTTAAACCAGAGGTTGGAGAGCAGAACACTAAATTATATTGTAGCTTCATTGACAACATGTGAAGAATTCCTCCCACACAGTGAGGAAATGACAGGCTGTAAATTACCTAGTGCTATTAGGGCTTAAATCAGACAGCAAATCAGTCTGCATCGATGCATCCTTCTAAGGGGGCCTGGCTGTCCATTATTTCAGAGTTTCTAATTCTCTGCATAGCATCTGGTTAATAGCATGTGGGCTTTTGTTCTGCTAGGCTAAACACTGAACAGGAAGATCCAGGAAGGAAAGGAGGAAAGGTCCATTTCCAACACGCTAGAAACACGTGGTCAGTCTGAGGGAGGAGCTGACCTTCTGTTTCCATCACAAACACTGAAATGAAGGACAAAAAGAACAATCCAGTAACTACCACCCATTGTCACTGTGGAGCTCATAAAGAAAGGAAATGGCTTTTTACAAAATATTTTATTGCTCTGCTTCCCTGGGCTGCACAACCTGCCAGCCTTTCTCCTGGGTAAGTCCAGTGCAGTGCTGTGACTCCCCCAGCCTCATTAACCCTCCCAGCTCCCCTGCTCCATCTATCTTCCTAGCTTGGGTGCTCGCCCATTTCTTGTCTTGGCACCCCAGACACTAGGGCTGACCTCTCAGCCCAGACCCACCACTGCTTCCTGATCCTTTGCATCCAGACCAACCCAGTCCCTCCTCCAGGTCCCCAGGAGCCCTCTTGGCCTGGTCCCACACTCACCTCCATCTGCTTCCCTGGGTGGCACGACTACCAGCTGCCTGAAACCAGCATTTTCCTGGGCCCTTCTCCCAGGCCCATCCAGCCCCCAAGTTCCTGAGGACAACATCTTTC